CTGTTAAGTAGTTTTGCGTAGGTTAGTTAAAAGAAGTGAAGCTAAAAGGTAACTGTGGCACAGTGAATCAAAATTAACTGTTGTCTATATATATTTTTCAGATTACAGGGTATATAGAGTTTGTGTAGTTAAGCAAGGTTGTCCTCTTTTTATTGTTCACAAATCATATTCTCAAGAATTACTCTATATACGCCTGGAATATAAAGCTGTGGGTATCTATGCTCGCCTTAAGCTGTTAAATATTACAGGGTATATATAGAGGTATTACATTTTTCTAAGTTCAACAGACATATTCACTCTTTAAAAATGTCTCGATATAAATTGTTTGAGTAAGAAAAAGAGTCACACAAAATTCTAGGGTATACATAATCGAGAGTGGTTCTATTTAGCACCACTTTATTTATAATTTAAGCATACATTCTCTAGAATTTCTTGTACATTATATATTGTGCACATCGCTTGGTGCTGCTTGCATCAGATCAATCTTAATCAACTCCGACAACTTCTCAATATTACAGGGTATAGTTAGCATTTATCATATTGTCTGAAAAGCGTTTACATACATTTTTTATATTCTCAAGATTTAATTTTGATAAATCTATAACAATGTAGTGCGAACTGTAGACGTGAGAACAGCGACTCAGCGACAGCTTATTAGCTCTAAAAGCGTGCATTTAGTTTCCAATTTTAATGACGGGCTTTTATGAGTTTAAAGCAGAAAAAATCGATTCGCATTACAGCTAAGGTTAAACATTTATCGAACACTTAGTGTGAGGTTCTGTTTACATGCCGATTGTTTTGGATCTGATGTGGGTCAGAGTTATATAGCTAGACAGCGTATTGCTGTTGTTGGCTATTGAGGCGCAAAGTGTGGTCTACGTGCCGACGATCGGCAGCGAAGAGGTTCGTCAAGTCAGTGAATATTTGGGTTAGGGTTGCAGGAAACGCTCTGGGACAAGAAGTTTGTTGAACCGCTGCGAATTGCCTATCTAATTGCCGGAAGCCGAATGCACTTTGCAATTAAACAAGCAAACACAACACACAACGCACAACGCACACACAAACACTTTGATTAATTGTTTAAAAAATTATAAACTTGGCATTAACAGCACGCTGTAAAAGACACCAGTCTGTGGAACACGTTTCCATTTCAATTACAATTTCAAATTCAAATTCTGAAATTTGAAATTTGGCTAATTAAAGGCGCATAAAGTCCAGTCAAGGTTGAGGCGGGCCGAGTCGGGCTTTGACAGTAGCGCAAACTAGAACATTTGCTTGGCATTTGGTATTTGGTGTTTTGTATTTTGTATTTTGTATTTTGTATTTGGTATTTGTCTAATTGAATATCAAAGTCAATGACTTACACATTGCGCTTGGCCAATTCGCTTGGCATTGTGGCCGCCAATTCGGGCCAATTAATCGCGAGGTTTCTTACTGCTTTTTTGTTTTTTTTTTCTTTTTTTTCGTTTAGTTTTTAAGCTATTTAATCTTGGACTTGTCTTGAACTTTTCAGAATAAGAAAAAAGACATACTGCCAGCTGTGTGTGCAATATATATATACATATCTATATGTATATGTGTCTAGATAACTGCAATATATAAATGTCTATATATCGAGGCGTTGCGGCCAAACCGTTAGGCAGCCATTTGGCATCGCCTCTGCGAGTCGCACCTGTTGCAAATTCTAATTTAAATGATCAGTAAATATAATTGCCATGGCTCTGACTCTAATTAGTACACAAACTGGTTACATCTGGACAGCTGTTGAGGGTGAGTGGAGCGGGTTTTATGGATGCTGGGCGTGTGCTGTCATAGTTTGATTTACAAGCAAATACCAAGGGGAAGCATCAAAAGAATTTATAGGTTCTAAGCGAATTTATAATCCAAGCCATTTGTATACTCCGTGAACTAGAGCATGAGCTGATCAGTGCTGATCAATAGAAGTCATCAGACAACCTCTTAGAGGCTTGCAGCCAGCTATAGAAAGGAAGCGCACGTTAAGATTAAGGCAGAGTTTTGTCTGGAATATACAAATTTTAGTTCGCATTCTTCTTCTTCTCTTTAGTTGTCATAATATGTCATGGTCCTTGTATCCAATTTGCATTAAATGTGTTAATTTCCATACACTATTTGATTTATGGCATAAAACTTAATTGAAGACGCTTAACACAAGATTACACGATTCAGCTTAGGGCATTGACGAACTGAAAGAATGCTTCAATATAAGTTTTATTTGAAGCTGCACTAAAGCCTTCACTAATATTTTTAAGAGATTATATATATATTTAAAATACTTTCATATCGAAGATAGTCGATGTGGCATAAACATTTCAACAAGTTTTGGTCAAAAGGCGAACGGAGGTATTCGAAGTAAGCATTAAGCATAATAATCTTATTATATTTTGAAAGCTTTTATAATTAATTATAATCTAATATGATTTAATATATATGACTTTTTCCCCAGAAAATAAAAATTCTCTGTCTTCCTCACCTCACACACTTTCACTCTCCCTCTCCCCCTCTGCGCTGTTGAAGGCCATTCTCAAGTTAAATTTAAGCCCAATGCCCATATAATCCATACTAAATAACCCTTAATTACAGGGTATTCTCAAGCTTCACCAATGTCTTTTAATCATTTGAGTCTCTTTAAGCACACATGTAAAACATTAGCAAGTTCAGCGCGAGCTCCTCCGGCTGACCTTCGGAACAGATGCCTTAAAGGTGCTGCTTTCATGCAAAGTGAGTTCCAGAACATTATTATGCCGATTAGGTCCATAATTAAAGGTTATTACAGCATCGATTGGCCATTGAATCGGATCGGTAATAGCTAATTGCATAAAAGCAAAACAAGAGCCAGGTGCTGCGGCCGCTGTGCTAATCAGTTCAACAGCTTGGACCATAAGCGACACCTGGCCCAGACAGCGCACCTGGACTTAACTATAGAAGGGTCTGGTTAGCTTGCTGTCTGTCTGGCTGGCTGGCGACTTTCAATCATAAATTAACATTAGAATTTTAAATTGTGCGACCAATTAAAAATAGTTGGGCGAAAAACCTGTGAGATTTCATGCCCCACTCGCTCGAACAATTACAAGAAAATTGTGGCTTTGTTGCCAAGTGCACAATACAATAAATATATAATACATATATGCTTATATAAACATCGTGCACAGGGCCAGCAGGTGCGGTGCCCACCACAAAGTCTGCCCAAGTTAGCCGTCCAATGGGGCGTATGCGCATTGTGGTTTATCGAGCTGTTGGCCGAGCTAGTTGGCTGGGTGGTTGGGTTTCAGCTACGATTGATTTTGCACCGCGTCACAGCGCTTTCATTGTCTGTTTTAAGTCGTGTCAATATTTTGGTTTTAGCTAAGCAAATATCATAATCAGAGACAAAAGTCTGTAGCGAGAGAGCTGATGAAATGTCCACATACAATTATTTGGCTAAGCTATTCCGGATGTTGTCAGAAAGTCAAAACTTAAGTTTGAAATTAAGTTAAGTATATAGAACGGCAAAGCAGTTGACAGATATATACACGCTTCACTGGGGCTGTTGACTTTGGTTAATTAAAAGTCGCGCACACGTGTTCAAATACTGACATAACGGAGCAAACAGACCAGAGGGCCCAGAGGCTCTAGAGGTTGCCAAAGGTCGAATCTTAATAAATCCAAACTTATAGAATAGCAATATGCGCTCAAATGATCTGGTCTCTAAGTTGGCTTTTGTTGGCTGTGAAATTGGATTCTTTGAGAAATGAAATCTTCATAAAGTTCTAGCTTTGCCTGTAGGTAGAAACCCGGAAATAAGTTTCTTATTCAACTAAAATAAATTTTTATTAATTTTCGTGTCACTTGAGTAAATTTCTTGTTTTATAAAATTTTATATTGATTTTGTTATTTATTATATTTTATGCATTTTTATCTAAAATTTGGTTCTATTCGAGCCCTCTTTCGATATGTATATGCAAAATAGTTATACGCCTTATGTTCAGTTTCGTTGTCGCAGAGCCGTTAAAGTATTGCATACTTATTCAATATAATCAAAATGTTGCATATTTTGAGGACTTTTATAATAACATCCCAAAGTCTATTGATAAATCATTATATTAAAAAATTATTTTAAAAATAAATAAAAATAATAGAAAAAAGTAAAAAAAATGCATACAACAAAGCTTGATAATGAATAATAATTATTAAAAAAAAAGTATTGTAGAATAAAATATTATTAATAATAATACGAACACAATAGACATACAGTTCACTCATTAATGCTTTCTCTGTGGTAAAAAAATTTAAAGTATATTTATAAATGTTTAATAAATTAATTTATAAAAATTTTGTTAGTTTACTTGATAATATAAAAGTAAACATTTCATGTCTAACTATAACATCTCATCAAAGTCCATCTATTGTTTACAATTGGAACTAACTAAGTGAAAAAGCGTGCGCAAGCTCAAGCGAAAAGCTGTTTGCTACGAGAATCACATACGCACTGTGTGCAAAGTGTAAATAAATTGCCGCAAAACAGGTTGATGGGAAATAAATAATAAGAGCAAGTTGAAAATAAAATTGAAATGAAATAGAAATACTCATAATATTTTTAAACTAATTTTAAAAAATTATAGTTAAAGACATATGTACAAACATAAAGAACTTTATTTTCTTCCAATAAAATTTCACAAGCAACACGAAAGTTGTTAGAAACAAGAAACGCTGAGCGCTATAAAACTTGCAAACATGCCTGAAGCTTTTATATAAATGAAACAGATAAGTACGTACTTACTATAACTATAAATAAATATTTATATTATTTTATTTATTTAAAATATGTGTATTGATAATCGTTAACCACATATTTATATATAATTACAGCTAAGAAAAAATACTGAAAAGAGAAAAATATATTATATACACATTAAAAAAAATATACATATATATATATATTGAAAAAAACAATTGTTAAGCTTTTAAAAAATGAGTATTTTATTTAAACAAAAATTGTGATATCAGTCTTTTGGCAAATTACTATCGCTCTTGCCCCTGCTGTAGGGCCGCGTGCCGCCGAGCATGCGTTCGAGTAGACTCTGCTTGGACTTGCGCTTGCAGGCGAGCACCTCCTTGCACAGTTCGTTGAAGACCTCGGCGACCTGGTCGACATGATCGGCAGCGGAGACTTCGCTGAATTTGCACTCAAAGTCTTTGGCGAGAATTTCGCCTTCGTCTCGGCTCACTTGACGCAGATGAACCATGTCCACTTTGTTGGCACAGAGCTGAACGGGCGTATCCGATTGCAGATCAGACTTGGCACGGCGTATATAATTGAAGCTCTTGCGATCCGTTATAGAGTAGACGAGCAGCAGGCCGTCCGCCCACTGCACCAGTTCGGCGGCATTGGGATATTCATCGTCGGCCTGCAAATGATGCCATTTACAGTTGTTTCATATATATATGGATATATATGGATATGTACCTTGGGACATGTGTCGAGTATTTCGAATAGCACCGGCTCACCATCCACCATGGACTCGTGTTTGTATCGATTCTCAGTCTGATGATCGTATTCGCCTATATAACGCTTCGTTAAGAAACGCACAATTAAAGCTGCAATTAAATTAAATGCAAGTTTAATTTGGGGGCCATACGCCGGCTATTGTTGAGATCAGGTGTAAACCGAGGCAACGCCCCTGGCCAAACAACCCCTCGGCACACACACACACACTCCACTGGGTCAGCACTTGAGCGGAAAAACTCCTACGACAGTTGAAAATTCAAATGCGAGCCGGGTAGGCAGGTGGAAAAGGTAGAATTGTAAACCTTGAGGGGTTAATAAACCCAGCTAACAACACAGTTGAGCCTTAAGGTTGCGTGTTTCAGCCAAACAAAAGATAGAGCAGAAAGCGAGGGAGAGGGGGTGGGGCTTGAGAAAAGGGGCCGGGCTAAGCCTTTGGTCATTTGCTATGCAAGTGCTTTGAACTCTGACCAAGTCGCAGGCATTTGCGAATGTATAATAATATATGACCTGGCAGGTAGATACTACTGCCGTGCTACGCTTTGCCTTGCCTCGTAAAGCTGTCCCTCTAGTTCCGCCCCCTCCCCTGGCCACTTTTTATGACATTTTCATCATTTATTTTCATAGCAGCCGCACATTTCGCTGGCGTTTTAATTTATGCTTTTCTCCAAACGTTTTGTTTTATTGTGCACGCCCAGGAAATTTAATGAGGGTATATTAGTTGTGTGCATAAATTGTCTGTGATGCTTGTTTGTCTGTAACATTGGCTCGAGATATTCGTATCTACGGCTGCTTCGTCGAGATAGCTGAAGAGTTACTTAAGATACATTTTCCTTGCTACAGCTACTGCAACTAGCTCTCAGTTCTATAATTCCCAAATATCACATGGAACTTGAGCAATTTTTTTGCTTTTCAAATGCGAACGCGTATGGCGCAGTCGGGCATAGCCGCCGTCAACAACGCTTCATTTTGTTGGTGGTTTTTTGTTCGGACTTTCCTTTAAATATATATTTACGAGGTCAACATTTAAATTTTTATTGTTTAAATTACGACAAAGACTGGCCACACTGTCCACGTCCAATGTCCGTTGGGCATTAATCGGATGCGCTGCTCGCGTCCATGTCCACGGCCTTTCGCCGGGTGGGCGTCGTTTTAATTGCCACACACACGCATGCCCACGGTGCTTTAGTGCATTAAATATTTGTGCTATATCTGCGGTTGAACGATATATATATATATATATATATATATATATGTGTGGCATATATATATAAATAAATATCGAAGGCAATAACATATATCATATATACGATCTTGTCTGCTCAAAACATTTGCTGGCGCCTTCGAAAAAATTCCGTTTAATAAGTACTTTCAATTCCAATTTTTGATATTCGCAAAACAACTTTTTCTTTGGCCTACGAGCACTTAGCTATCTTTACAATGGGGCTGTAAACTATATATATATGCACATATATGCATGTATCACTAAGTTTATCTATTTTAGATAGGACTGCTCTTTTTCACTTAACTACTTGGAAATGTTGACTGGCAGTAAAGCTAAAGTGTGCAGCAGATGAAAAATAGCAGCTAAAGAAAATATTTGATAAGTTTTATATATTATATAACTTATTTTTAAATGTATTTTTGTGTGAAATTTCAATTACATTTATAATTTACATTGAATAAGAAGTCGAATCAGCAGCAAAACTAGAAATCAAGTACAATATTTGCACCTCTTTCAGAATTGCTCAACCAATGCTAGTCTAGCATACAGTTGAAGAGAATTTTAAATCTAGATTATTTGACCATTATTATGCCTTTTTATTGATAACTAGTAATTTTCAAATTCAGTCGAGTATACAGCATATGTTTCTATGGTGAAAAGAATAATTTAAATTGTGATCAACTGTTTCATATTGGAACTGTTTTTTGTTAGCCCTCTTCATGCAACCTTGTGAATGCTAGTCTGCAGCAAATATTAATATTAATATCAATAAAATATTTTTATATTATATTGCATACTATCTAAACCTATCTAGTATATATAATTATTTAAAGAGTTTCTAAAGAGTCTACTTAAGAGACAAGTATCTATTGATCTCCTATATATTTGACACCTTAGACACTTTCTGATAAGACTGATAAGACATTCCTGTAGAATGGGTATGGGAAAGTTAGACTAAATACTGACTGCAGGCTGGAATAAAAGGTAATTACGAAGTAGTGCATAGCTAATTATATTTTTCTATTACTAAACCAAGTCTTTTTACATAGTCTGTATCTAACTGCTAACTAAATAAACTTTTGGCCATAAGTAAAACATTTACATTTATAGGTGACAGTTAGATAAACACTATTTTTACAGAAATAAATAAAATATATATGCAGTTATATATATATATTAAATACTATAAAATATATGAGACATTTGTTTGTATAACACATTTAAAACAAAACTATTTCAGAATATTAAATACGAAATTCCGAGACAATTATCTTTTACCCTAACATTCCGTGTATCCATAGTAAAGTTTAGCTAACCTGCAGCGTTAAGCTAAATATCTAGCAACTTAATGAGTTAAATATGCATATTTTTGCTGGTTTGTCTATTAGAAAGTTCTATGAAAAGTTTCCACTAGAAATTAGAATTTTCAAACGGAGGGCGACATTTCATCGGATACAGCTGTCACTTGGTATCAAGGCTTAGCGTCAAGTGCTGTATATTAGTAGAGCGTATACGCTAGTCATATTTCTTGGCTGGCTTATGCCGGCGGAACCATAAAGTAGCTGGGTGTTACCTGAAGTTGACAGATGCCGAGGCATGCGGAAGTCAAGCGGGTCGAAGAAAATTTTACAAATTAAAACTTTTCGTCTTTTCTTTTTGGGGGTGAGGGTCGTTGTGTCTAGTGACAAGATACATCAATTTGCAGTTAACTCTCTGTGCGTGTGTGGGTGTGTGTGTGTGTGACACAGTGGCCGTCATAAATTAGTGGCTGCTGTGGGTGCACGCGTGTCAAATCGAACGGTGAAAACGATTAAAGCAAAATGCGAGCTACTCAAAGATACAAATACAGATACAGATACAGATACAGATACAGATACAATTGCAGATAGAGATATGTAAGTATATATTTAGCGGCATGCTTGGCTACACATGCACAACTGTGTGTGTGTGTGTGTGTGCGAGTGTGTGTCAGTGTGTGCTCCCACTTTATAAACAAAACAAACAACGATCTAAATATATACGAAATCGGCGATTGCTCAACTAATTTGCTGTTGCTCGCTGTTGTTTGTAGTCGATGTTGCTTCTGGCTTTCATTTTTCCATTTTGTGTGTTGATTAAAACTCTATCTTACCGCTCTTTCCAACACTGGGCGCGCCAATAACTGCGATTTTCAGCTCTGTCAGCGTTGACTTTTTACGCCGTATGCCGCGCGTCGTCATCTCCGTATGTTGAAATAGCCCAGTTTACCGTATTCACGTTGAATATATATATTGATGCGAATCTATCTGTATATATATGTATACATATATATGTTTTTTGGCCAATACGCCAATAGCTATATATCCGTTGTCTGTTTTCACGTTGAAAAATTATGCGAATATCACAACAAGCGCCAAGAATTGGCCTTAAATTGCATTTAGAGTCTAGAAATATTGTTGTTTTTATTTTTTTCTATTCAATTGTTTTTTAATTAACTAAGGCGAGTGTCTTGGCTAAATATTTAATTTATATAATAGTTTCTCTAAATTATGAAATGCACGTTGCACTGTTCCATGTCTTCAACTATGTACAAAAAAAATTAGATTCCTTGATTTATTTATTTATTTAGTTTGGCAATCCGTAATTTTCAGCTGATCTGCTGAAAATGTCTTTTATTCTTGTTGCTTTCTTTTTGTTTCTTTTGGTTTTGCCCGCAAAGTCATGCGATTTGTCCGACTAACGAATTTGTACTAAAATCAAAATCTGTGCTACGCCAGACCCGAGCAGCACACGGATCCGAATAAGATCGCCAAACAGACGATCGAATCGGGCAGCTTTTTCTTCTTGTATTTGTTTTTTTTTTTTTGTTTTTGCGAACGAACCCAAAAATAGCTGCTCCATAGAGCACTATGCGCTTGGTGAGCATAATCGACCACAAGCAACCAGCAATGGGTTAAAGTTTACTCTTCAATAAAGTCAAAGGCTAATTGCTTAGCTACCAAATAGCTGCCTGCACTCATGCTGATTGCTCCGATCGTTAGATCAGAAAAGTTGGCTCATTTTGGTCTTCTTCTCTGGCAGACAGAGAGAGAGAAAGGGATGTGCTGAGTGCCTCTAAAAGTCATTCTAAATTAAATTTAATTAGTGCAGCTCCATCGGGCAGAACAGCTGTGCGAAAGGCAAATGTTTTTTGGGATCACTGATCAGTGGAGGTGGTTGAAGGTGGTTTTTACGCTCGTTATTAAAGTGAAAAGAGTATATTGCATGTGTGCAATGTTTGTCTTGCTGTTTGCTTGATTTCTTCTTAAGATTACCTCTACCTGGAGGCGTATCGACGAAAGCTGTATCTTTTATATTCTCCTGAACTCTACCCAAACTTATCACTTCAATATCTTCAAGGGTCATAAATATTTTACCAAAAATATTTGCCTGAAAATCATTTGAACTAAAACTCGGAGTTGTGCAAACAGGATTGCTCCCACCCTGAGAAGCATAAAGAACACTTATTGGGAAACATTTGAAATGTCTTTTAGTTATGCATTCTACTTAATTAGGGAAATTGCGTTTGGGGCATATCAATCATATTCTTCCATGTAGTCTATGTACACACATATGCATCGGAAACACCCTCGTGCACGTGGATAACTGTTTACTGTGTGCTGTTTATATAGGGCAGACGAGGCGGCGTCCTGCGGGGGTGTGTCTGACTGTAGTCTGCGTGTCTATCGCTAAGGGTTGAAATACTAGACACAAAAATTTGGTCAACACATTTCGCTTGCCGGAAAATCTTTGCACTTGCCGTGCCTTCCGACTGACAGCTGAAATTTTAACTGTTCTCCGAGCACAGCTGTGGCAGAGAGCAAGTACGCAGCATATGTAAACGATTTTATTTGTATTTGAAAGCGTTTTTTTTTTGGATAGAAATTGGTTTATTCTTATCGGTAAATAGGCGTGTTAATGGCTGTTTACTTAAAGGAATGATAAGTTGAGGGAATAGATCTGTGTCAAAGTCAACATTTTCGACTGTCTTCGTGTTCTATGGGAACTCAACTCTTTTTAGTGAAATTTTAATACAACTTGGTATCTAAACTACTTTTTGCTTTAGATTACATATTAATAATATTTGTTAGTCAAATGTTGAATTAGTATATCTTTTAGCTATATTAGCTAAAAGAAACCAAATGGAAATTGTAATTTGAGCTGTCAAGTATATTTACTTAATAAATATTTAAGAAGCACATAAAATAAATATCGTTTCAGAAACTTTATAATATATAAAGAAAGAAGTGAGAGTTCATTCACTTAAAAATATTAGAAAAATATAAAATTGTAACTAAAATTTAAAAAAAAAATTTATTTTTTTAACTACTTTTTTTTAACATTTAATATATAATAATAAAAAATATATATATCTCATTAATAAATATATATCTTACCAAAAGTTCTTGCGCAACTACAAAATTTCTAAATATTTGCTAGGGTATTTCAGTTTTGACCAGTCACAAGCAACGTTTCATACTAGACCAGATCGTCTTATAAAATGATTTAGTATGCACAGACACGCACGGCGAATTCAGAGCACCCTAAAAGCGTGCACTGCTTTCGCATAGCGGTCAATGATTCGCCGCAAAGTCTGCTACAGTTTCATTTTCGCTCTCTCGCTCGCAACACTCTCTCCCGCTCTCTTATACAACCAAAATTCATAGTAGACCCAAGACCCAAAGAGCTGAACATGCTGCTGCTTGGTCTTCTACTAAAAGTTGTGGTTGAGATTGTGGTGGTGGTGTTGCCGCTGCTGGCTGCCCAGTGACAATTCGCTTGCTTCTGCTTGGCTGCTCGAGCGCTGCGTCGTTTAGTTTTCACTCGAACGGCGAAGCGTTGGCAACGCACGCGGAACGCGCACGTCCCAAAAAAAGTACAAAAATTGCGAGCTGAACGTTTTGGCTTCAGCTGCCGCCAAAATAGCAAAAAACAAAACCGAAAAATGTAAAGAAAAAAATCAAATTATATTTAACTATATAAAAAAAAAACGTTTTTTTGAAAACGCCGCGCGAGCTTTTCAGTGCGCGTTGTTGTTGTTTCTGTTTTTATACTTTTTCTGTGTTTGTTTTTGGCCAATTGGATTTTTGTTTTTGGTTTTTCGAAATTTATTTTTGTAGCTTTAACGTATATCAAAATACTGTGCGGTGTTTCTGGCTTTTATAGCCGCTGTTGTTGTTGTTGTTGATAGTTTTTCCTGCGTCTGTGTCTGCTGCTTGGTGTTGAATTCAAATATTTCAAAATATATAAAAACAAAAACAAAAGAAACCAAAAATTATATTCGAATACGCATTTCTTGCGACATTTGTGAAACTAGTGCGTGATTTTCAGCAGTTTATGCACATTAAATAAATATCGCAAGCGAAACTTAATGCCAAAAACAATTTTGAATTTAATTTTTAATTTTATGCAGCATTTAATTGCTTAAAGTAAACAAATTGCTGCTGCTGTTGCTGCTGCTGCATATGGTGTCAAGAATTTGCTCAAATTTAACGGATGCAACAGCATTTTCATTGGAAACGGATATATGAAGCTTTATTTCAGCTATAAAAATATTTTAAAAACTATGTTGGAAATTTCTAAAAACAAAATTCAACCAATAGTATAACAATTTGAATAAGTATCATGTCATGTTGATACCCTGTAAATATTTACATGCGAGATAGATTTCTTGTCCCTTAGATCACAGCTGCAACACAACTTTCTATGGAGCTAGACTACCCAAGCTCTTAAGTCAAACTTGTTATAAGTTATATGATCTTTTAGCAGCCTAATCATCAAGATTGGCCTCTCCTACAGCATATTCGAACGGTAATCATATATATGTATATGTATGTGAATATATATCACATTGAGTCACAATCAAACCCACTCAAATTTTGTGATGTCATTTTTTTGGCTGTGTTCATTTTGAAATCAAATCAAGAGCGAAAAGGCAACTTAGGTAGAAGACGAACAAAAACAGTTCAAGCTCAAAAAGAAATATTGCCCAAAGAACCCGTTTTTGCCGAGGACACGCAAGGAGCACACTGAAGGCGCGGGCGGGGGTAGGGCGCAGAGGTGGAGTGCCAAGGATATACGCTATAGGAGCCAAACATAGCTGAAAAGTAAAACAAAGCAAGAGACATGAGAATGAAGTCATCAGCTTCATTTAGAGCAACCAAACTAGTTAAGAGTGATGCAGTTCAGCAGCCACGACTTGGGAATACCCTATAAAATGTAAATAGATAATGTTGACAAGCTACAGGCATGTCTAAGACTAGATGAACGACTAGTAAATACCCTCTGAATATATAATATATATATTTAGCACTACCTTAATCAAATTAATAGATATAAAATTTGTTGCACAACTTGCAGATACTCTATGAAAACTTATGCTATTTTTTTCCTCAACTTTTTGTTATATATATTTGATATTTTTTTTTGATAAATTTTTATATTTTGATAAATTTTAGTGTGTCTATTGTATATAGAATATTTGGACTTAATACGCTTTCCAGAAATTAAAGTAGAATATAATATATCTTATAAATATTCTAAGCAAGAAACTTTTCTATAGTAACTTATATGTCGATGCAGATTTATTATAATAAACTTAGTTTACTCACATATCACGCTTCCAACCCAAAGCTGTAGGGCATAAAAATCAATGAAAACTATATAAATACAGACATATATATATATATGTATCCTTGGTACACATAAACCTATATCTACTTTAAGTTAAGTGCTTTTACAACTCTGTCGGTTGTACGCAATGAAAAGTGCAATTTGTGTGTGGCGACTGACCGGCGCCAGAACCATGGGAATATTACTTAATGCAACCCCCCGCCCTTTGGCAACTGCACCCTACAGTCGGTTGCAGCGGCCCCCCTCGTCGCCGTTTCAACATTTTCCACACCATTTGCCAGTGTAATTAAATTAGCCAAAAACGAAACTCAATTGACGCAAGGATAATGCCAGCTCACAACAGGCGGGCATGGAGTGGCGGGTAGCAGGTGGGAGTGACAGAAGTGGAAATAGTGTAACCTTGGCAACTAATTGCGGACTAGCGCTCGGGGGAACAGTAACCGCTGCGTGTCACAGGCAGCAGCAATAAATGTTCGGGACAAAAGTTACGCAAGCCCCGCAAGGACAATCAATTTTATACCCTATAATCATAAATTATAGCAGCTTGAATGTCGTCTAGTACTAGGGAAGAGGGTATTAATTAATGGGTACATATTCTGAGTCAATTTGAGGGCTGCTGTGGGATTCGTAAATAGCTATCCTTCACTCTTATAGGCAATACTTAATCAATATCCTCTGCGCACCCCAAGAGCTACATTTATATTTAAATTCAAAATTGAGTCTTGAGGCTGCAGGGTATCTCACAGTCATCTACCTTTGATTGCATCACTTTTATTTGATTTTTATGGTATTTTTTATATTGCGCCGATGACGTCGACCAACGTTGCCATCATCAAATGTTTGCACGCCACAGCTCTGAGTACCCCTAACTTCCTGAAATGCAGAATGCAAATGGGTTTCTAGGTCTTACGTACTGCGGAATGAAGTCACAATTTGTGGGAAAGTGGCACAAGACAATGAAGGGTTGTTGCAACATAGGAAATAATATAAAAGGAAGATTCTTTGACTTCTATACAACGCTAAAAAAACTTGGAATCCTGAATACCGCTTCATACAATGATTTATTTTCTTTTAATTGAAGATTGAATTCGGGTTACTTTAAGCAACTCATTTAACTTTTCTTTTCTTTTGTTTTCTTCTTCCCCCCGCTAATTCACTTTCCCCTGCGAATGTTTTCAGACAAAGGTGGCAACAAATGGCATTATTAAAGAAAAAAATTGGACGGCAATCATTGCAACCCTTCTCTGAAGCCCTTAAAGAAAAATTCTTATGCATAAGGCGAGGCGTAAATAAATAAAATAAAATCCACGCAGCAAATGTCAGCAGTTATTTGGCTAGGTGTTCTAGTATTCAACAATAGGCATAGAAAACCACCCTTCAGGCAGAGAGTGGCCAAAAACCACCCTAACGCACAGCAACCACCCTCAAGATCGAGCTCTAAGACACCTTAGAAAATGTGTATACACACATATATATATATATATATAAATACATACATCATATCTTAAAGCAAGCTTGAACTTGAATTCGCATTGCGCTGGTGGAAAGATCTCAAAAACCTGACAAACAACTTCGAGGCACAGACAGACAGCACACAGTAGACATTCTAACAATGGAGCCAGCGTATCGATGTAGGGGGCGTGGCGGTGGCAGCGGCTTCGCGAAGCTCAGACATGAAACGTACAACAACGAAAAGAGGCAAATTAAAAATAAAAGACAAAATAAAAAAAGATAATAATGAAATTTAAATCACAAAGAGGCGAGCGAAACGCGAAGCCAAGCGTCGGAGTGTATCCGCTACATATGACATCATTCCGAGTCCCATTAATGAACTAATCCAAACGAGCAACCTCATTTTATTTCTTTTTTGGCCAAAAGTAGGCCCAGTCCAATTATGTCAGCTGTATACAACACATTTTCTGATCTTGTTTCGCATCAGATTTACTTATAATTGCCCAGCCGAAAGAAGATACAATTATTATGAACTCGTCCCTAGTTCGTACATCTGTTTTCACTGAATGTGCCGCACACATGTTTGGCTACTTATGGATTTATGTGGCATTATGTGTACATGCTAATAGTTTCCAAAAACAATTCGATTGCGAACAACATTAAAAAAGTGGAGAAGCAAATGGCCTGTGGCATAAGTGATGCCTGTGTGCCTAGCACATTGTAGCATGCCTGTAAAGCAGCGGCGAATCTTGGTAGAACTCTTATCTTGAATTGCGAATTTCTCTTTGAGATTTGTAGCAAGAACCGTCAAATTTTATTGCACAACATTTATTTGTTTTGGAGTAAAATTCTGCGAGTTTTTATTACCAAGATAAACTTGTTTCCAATGAATTTATAATTGTTTTAATATTTTTTCAGCCATTTCAAATTTGCCAAAATATGGAGCAGATAAGTTTGGGGGTCATTTATGTTGAACCTGAATTCTTTTGTGATCAGTTACAATTTTTTTCATTAATAATAATTCATATTAATATATATTTTCAATTTTACTAAATGGCAAATTGTTTCAAGCATCTGCCTATAGAAACTTAGCAGAGAGAAAGATAGTTAAGAATCTGGCTTCACTTGAAAAATTCTGAGTCATATTCAGATGGATAGTTAATTGACTTTGTAATGAATTCCTATATATTGACCATATCCCTCAAAAGTAGATATCCTTCTGAATACGAAAAATTATATATATTTCTTCAAACTGAATATTTTCCTTTTATTCATTTCCATTAAGTTTGAGTCATTCGCTGCTCAAGATTTTATGACAGTTTCCAAATTTACCTCTTCCAAGAATTCCACATAAATATTTGCTTTTATTTCTTACAAAATCTGTAGAACTCAGAAGTATCTGCTGGATTACTTCACATTTTTCGATGTCGATTCTAAAGATAGCATGTGTGTGCGCATACATAATTCGGTCACTGTTTCGCTTTTTCATGCTTGTAATACATAATTTTTGCAGTCTAAAGAATTTGATGACTCAGAGCTGAAGCACAAATGTGGCTGCTGTCACAGCGGCAAATGGCAAGAACTAAAAAGTATCTCACAGATACCTCGCAGTGACGGGGCATTTCTCTCTCTCTTTCTCTGCGAAACTAGGGCAAACTTTTGCGCATTCTGTTTTGATTCTATGCCTTCGAGGATTGTCAAGTATCAAATTGTCTGCTCTGGCAGTTAAATTGCTGTCGAATTCAATGTCAGGCTGTCCGAATGACCATAGTTAATGTGGCAGACAAATCAGCAACAATCGCATCTTCAGTTTAAGTTTTTATCTTCTCTCGCTGAGCTGCCAACTCTTGTGAATTATTGAG